AGCCTCCTTCCCGCCTCACAGAGCAAGGCCTGTGTGCTTGTCTGCCTGGCTTTTGACGTTTTTGCTTGTCTGTGAGTGTATCCCATTTTATTCCCTTCTGTCTGCATTTTCTTTTTCCGCTGCCATATTTCAGTATATTTGCTTTGGGCTGTCTACTTTTATTATCTCTGTACATCTGTCTCGGTGTTGTCTTGTTTTGTCATCTACTACCATCTATAGTCATGAAAACTGGAATGGAATATTTCTGAGGCATGTCTAAGACTGAGACAGGCATGGAACATGTCTGCAGTGAGTGTCATGGCCTATTCGGTGTGTGCAGGGTACTCTTTATATGTATGGTCTGTGCATGAACATACCATCATTGCTATCAGCTAGGTTCAAGGGAACCTAGAGATATCACTAAATCAGTGCACCTCTTCTGAGGTTAACTGGAATTGTAGTTAAACAACTGAAATATTTTCCATAGATCTTCCAGATTTTCCATATACATTTGTATACATAATCAGATATCTTTTTTTTTTTTTTAGAAAATTCGTGGGAGAGAGAATCACAGTCTCCAAAATGACTGCTGTATAGAATGGATTAGTTACAACTGCAGTACAAAGCAGTTCCATATAGCTGATAAAATGTACAGAATTTGAATAATACTAACATAACACCATGCCACCCAATCCAGATGGTGTGGGAGAGAAACCTCGATGAAAAGTTAACCCCTGAAGCATGGGCGTCTATTCGGAAAAATAAGTCCAAAATCTCAAACTCGGTGAGAATTAAATTAATATACTATACACCTGTCCACTGAATATACCCAACACTGAGAACATCAAACAAATCAAGTAAAATCAGCTCCGTTGGCATAGTTACAACAGTGAATTGGGGAATTTATTCACATGACCAGGACTGTCCAAACCCACAGATATCCGCTAATGCTGATGCACTGCCCACTATCAAGGGACTGTGGTGTCCTGCAGTGGAAAACAAAATTCTCATTACGAAATCATTTAACTCAGTAAAAGATTGCATAATATTCCCTTTCTTATGTGTTTTTCTTATTATACAAAATATTTTCATGTTGTCTTTATCTGAATATCTTGTCTTTGTACAGTTTTACCTCTTGAAAGACAAATTGAAATCGTGCTGAAAAAAATGTCTGCTATAGAAGAAAGCTGTTCTTATGATAATGCTTGTGAAAATTATTCTAATACAATTTCGTATAAAGACAATCTTAAAATCAGAAAATAAGTAAATGTTTTTACATTATGGTGGTAAACTGGAAAGCAGGGGTAGATGACTGTGGTCCTACAGTGCTGGAGATGATTTCTGGTTTTTGTTCCATCCATCCAGTCTTAATTACATAATTGGATCAGTTATTATACTAAACTAATACGGGTGATTCGGTCTGAATGGTGAAATGCTGAGTACCTCGAACACATGGTCACCTGCATAAATTCAGCAGAATAATTAATCCAATTTTGTGATTAAGGGCTCGGGTGGAACAGAAACCAGAAATTTTTCTGGCACCCCAGGAACAGGGATGCCTACCCCATGTCCTAAGGTGTGCATTTTTTGAAGGAATGTGAAACAGATATTGAAGTGGATTGTTCAAGTGCAAAGCCTCCATTAACCTGAAAAATCACTTGAGAAATATCCATCATATCTAGCTATGTCAGTATATTACAAAGGGGCCATAACAAATGCACATAGAGGGTGGTATTTGGGTGATGTATTAAAAGTATACATATATTCCTACACAGGACTGTCTTTAGGACATGTGGTTCGTGATGAGCATAGTCTGTCACCAGGACCATGTTCGTAATTTTTTCTTGCATGAAGGAGGTATTTGTGTATTATTATGTCTGTATGTATTTATCTTATGATCATTTATCTCTAGGAATGTGCCTGTACTTGTCTGTGCCTGTGGTGTAACCTCAAACACTGTAACAAATTCAGCAAAAATTAATGTGCTACAACTTAAAGAAAAACCATAAATTAGATGCAAGAAATAAGCACCATCCAGCAGCAATATATTTTGACAATTCTTGTGATATATACTCCATGATGCACATCTTTTCTTTCTTACCTGCTCACCGATGTCCTTGACACTTTCTGCCTCCCCTCTCTTATCTTCCCTCTCTGATCCCCCTGGTCTCCTCCATAAGCCGAAGCCCCCTGGCCCCGCCCCTGAGCTGCCCCTTAAATTGGAGTCCCTGGTCAACATCACCTCAGCCATCTATGACGAGATCCAGCAGGAGATGAAGAGGGCCAAGGTGTCCCAGGCTCTCTTCGCGAAGGTGGCTGCCAACAAGAGTCAGGTAAGCCTCCTAGGAGCTACTGACACATCCATTTACAAGTCAAGTAATCACACAGGCCACTCAGTGAGCCTGATGTCTGTTTTTACAGCTACAGGCTATTTACTTACCATTTTAAAGACATTATCACATGGTCTTGGCAGCAGGCTTCCACCTCCTTGTGACACAGTGCAATGTGCCTGACCTTTTGGGTATATTCCCATTCAGTGTGAAAGCTGAGACAATGGGATGACTTAGTGTTGAAGTACCATTCGTTATGATAAGTACCTGGCGGGACTCACTCACCCATATTAAAACACATGAGAAATAGGTTTAGGACAGTAAACACTGGAGAAAGGGAGAAGAGGGTATTTGGGGCTCACATTTCTCTTGGTCCTCAAGTAGTGCAATTCTTTTAACGGAGTTTGGGGGGGGTGGCTTCTCCCTTCTCCTCCGAAATTGCGGTATCTGATTGTCAGTCCGTTCTGCGGAGCGAAACGCGGCGTGCCATCATGTCTCCGCAAGCAGATAAACAATACAGGCAGTCCCGGGCACAACAAGAGATAAAAAAGCATGCCTGCATGGCAGTGGGGGGAGAGCCAGTTTACACTGCAGATCATCATCAAAGGCCCTGCAAATGCGTTCCATACCCCGACCCCAGCTCTGTTTACATCAAGTTTAGGGATCGCTTTGTGCCGCGTGAGTCATCGTGGAGATCTTTATCGAGGAGGGGAACCTTCTATTTTATTACCCGCACCACAGCGATTGTTATGATTAATATGTACACATCTCAGTCCTCTTCACAGAGCTTGATTTTTAGAAGGGTGCAGCAAAGTGACAATTGCCCCATATGTTTTCCTCTCCCCCTCCCCTCTTGCTGAAGTTGCTGGTAATTTGAAAAATAGGGGAAAAGAGGTCTATGGACACGTGTGGGATTGTAATCTGGGGTTTTTGTGAACAGATTTTTAAAACAGTGAAGGGATGAAGCGGACAGAAAGAAGGCTGTGTGGGACAGCGGTTAAAGATTTCATTGCTGGGGAGGGAAGAGCCTGAGTCAGATCTCTGTATTGATGTTCTTTGTTTCAGCTGATTACCATAAAGTTTTCTTAACGAAGGATGGTGCTGGGAGACCAGGATAGCTGTTGGCAGAGACACGGCTACATATGAAATTATTGTATATTATATATAAATTGCACAAGTGTGTAACCAGCTCCTCCAACTGGAGTTAGCCAATTAAAAAAAAACATGGTGGCATATCAGTTGCTCCTACTTTCACATTCCCTCCAGTTAAATGCCAAAACCTTCAACTTGTGTATTTTTTTTCTGGTAACTCCCAAACACTTTAAGTAGTTTAGCACAACGGGGGAATGTGTATGAGGGTCCACAGGTGTATTTCACCCCCCACCCCCCCTCCCTTCTGCCACTTGTGTCTCTGCGAGAGTGTGACTGTGGGAGAGAGTATGTGTGCGTGTGTGTGTGTGTGTGTGTGTGTGTGTGTGTGTGTGTGTGTGTGTGTCTGTGAGTGAGTGCCAGATTGGGGTATGGTCTCATAATCTGGGGTCTGAAGGGGGGTTACAGCTCAGTGCCCCCATCTGCCGCAGCTGGCCGACCCCCTCCCTTGAGAAGGAGGGGCGGGAGGGGGGGGAAAAGAGGGAGCGAGAGCACTGATCAGGTTATTAACACTGCACGCCAGAGGAAGCTGTGAGCACACAACAGCTGGTGTCAGAGTCTGGACCAGTCTAGCAGAGATAATCAAATCTTTCCCCCTCTCTCTTTCCCTTCCCTCGCTTACTCTCTCTCCATCTACTGGTCTTTTTTTTTTTCCCGTCCTCACTCCACTTTCTGCTCTCTCTTTGCCTCTCTGACTCAGAGTGATGTCTGCCCTTCCTCTTACCCTCTGTTGTGTGTGCTTTCAGCTCAAACGCCTCGTGCCACAGTTTTATTGTGTTAGTCATTGCCAGAAGGTCACTTGCTGTAGTGCTGTGTCACAGTGTTGGTACAGATTCATATAAGAACTCCTAATAATGTGTACAGAGTAACATATGTGTAGCATTCATCCAATATAATAAGAGCGCGGGCTTTCCTTGAATGAAATCTGAACATTCACTGACATTGCTGTCGCATCCTATTGGCCAGGCAGAAGGGGGTTTTTTGGCCTTGAGGGCCACTGGTCCTGATGAATACTAGGAGAAACAATGAGTCTGATGGGTTGCTGATGTGCTGTGCAGAGAGCAGTTGGTGTTCCTAGCGACAGCAGTGAGCAGAATCAGCCTATGCAGTATGCGGACGCAGTCTGTGCCAGCTATGTCTCCTGCTCTGATGTGTGCTGCGCACAGCTGTGTGCTTGATGTGCGCTTGGTGCACAGTCGGCAGTGAAGCGCAGAAGAACTTCTTCAGAAGGTCTATGGGTTAAACTTCACGATGCTAATAGTCACAGTACCATATGAGCCCAACGCAAGTGTGTTTTGCTATAGAAGAGGTGTAGCATTACATTACATTACAGTCACTTAGCAGAAGCTTTTATCCAGAGTGACTTACATAGGGAACAGTTGTTACATGTCATTCAATTATACAGCTCAATATTTACTGAGGCAGGTTGTGGGTTAGGTACCTTGCACAAGGGTCCAATGGGTGGTGCCACAATAAGGAATTGAACCAGCAACATTTCAGTTACAACACCTGCTCCATACCACTATGCCATTATGCGGGCGTGGCAGTGTAGCATAGTGGTATGGTACAGGGCTTGTAACCAAAAGGTTTCCAGTTCGATTCCCCACTGGGGCACTGCTGCTGTACCCTTGGGCAAGGTACTTAACCCAGCATTTCCTCAGTAAATATCCAGCTGTATAAATGGATAACGTAAAACTTGTAACATATGTAAGTCGCTCTGGGTAAAAGTGTCTGCTAAATGACAGTAATGTAATGTAATATAAAGTAATGCTACACTGCCGTCTGTGTGGAAACCTCTGTTAAAAGACGTGTCTCTCTCTTCCTCCTCCTCCTCCTCCTCAGGGCTGGCTGTGTGAGCTGCTGCGCTGGAAGGAGAGCCCGAGCCCGGAGAACCGCACGCTCTGGGAGAACCTGTGCACCATCCGCCGCTTCCTCAACCTGCCACAGGCCGACCGGGACCTGGTGTACGAGGAGGAGTCCCGGCACCACCACAGCGAGAGGCTGCACACCGTGCTGCACCTGCCCTCCGACCCGCAGGTGAGCCCGGGCCCCGGCCCCGGCGCCGAGCCGCTGCAGGGACGCGCTGTACACTGTGCTAAGCAGCCGGTCATTTATCGCCGTCGAAGACGGCGTGTTACAAACGGTCACGCAGAGTGTGCTCGTTTAATATCTCCAATCAAATGATGTTTACATCCATGTCCAAGTAAACAGAAATGCATGCCAGTGTAACCAATGTAAAAAAAAAGAGATCCAGTTAATCTACTGATTAATCAATTGTTAATGACCTAACTGGTTGGTTGATTGCACAGTAAAATAAGTAATCGACTTCTTGGGGATATACACCACACACACGCACACATACAAGTACACGCACACGCACACTCTCTCTCTCTCTCATGCGCACGCACACACACAGGCTTACAGACTTTACAGTCTTACTGTAACACCCTGTTCTCTCCACCCTCTGCTGCAGCTCGTTTCAGCGTTACGCGTGTGGTGCTGCACTGAGGCCCCTGTGGAGTTACACTGCCAGGGCCTGCCCTGCGTGCTGCCATCCCACTCAGTGTAATAAGCCCCACACTGGCCCCCACAGCCCCCCCACCCCTCACTTCCAGCACCTCTGATTAAATTGACTTTCCACACTGCCAGCCAGAGTCATTACTGTTGCGGAGCGAGCACCCACACGCATGCATACATACACAAACACATACGCACACTGCTACTGTTTCCCACTCATTTATTTCATCCTGTCCACACTCCTGATTTTCAGACTGATGCAGCAGGACTCTTTCCCACCCTTCCCTTTCCCTATCTCCCCTCCCTTCCCTCAGACACTCAGTCCTCTCACCCTTTTCTTTCCCTCTTTCCCTTTCTCTCTCTTTCGCTCTCCTTCCCTGTCCCTTCCTTCCCTCTCTCATTTGTCTTCTCCCCATCTCCCTCTCTCCCTCTCTCTCGGGGGTGTAAACAGTCTTTTTGGCAGCGTGGCTGATGAGGTCTCAGTTCCCTGAGGAGGAAATGCCCCATTATACCTCGGGGTCCCCACCCTGACACTGCCCGACCGCTTATCCACCGCGGTCCTGATATTAATAATCACAGGAAGAGAACGCACACTGCAGTTTCAGAGGGCGTTTGGCTTCGGCAGAGCGCAGGCCTTGATCACCTGAGCTGAGGCGCACCGTCAGTAGCTGCTGTTAACGAGCGTGAGGGGTCTGCTTCAACGTGTGTCGCGGTGTGCTGGGGATAAAAAAGACATTCAGCAGAGCTTCCGCGAACTGCAGTAACCCTCTAATATGGGCGGTGTGCTCAGAAAGGGAAACACATCTATTTGAGGTCTTGTCCACATGTTGGAGTGGAACACAGAGCAGGCATAGTCATTAATAATATCCCTCTCCATTCTGGGGCCTGTACCAAACGCAGAAACCTCAAAAGACATCAAGCCAGGGAACCCAGTGTTGGGCTAATGCACAGTTTCATAACAATGAACTGCTTAAAGAGGGGTAGGGCGCTTGGCGGTTCTGTAATTGATTCTCCTCTGTAAATCAAGAACTGCTTTGAACACGTTCTGTACACGAGAGAAACCAGTCATGCACTCGGTTGACACGGTTTACCAGATGGTCACATGTACAACACAGCTCCTGTAACCAGAGGCCTTACCTTCACATGATACGCGTGTCATGGAATTAGTGATTTGTTTGGAAGGCAGCCTTGCCCAGATTCATGCAGAGCGTGTATATATTCTGATGTGTGGAGTGCCGTATATTGGACTGAGCTCACTCGTTTTCTACTGATCTTGGATCAGTAATCGGCAAGGGAGCACCTCCTATAAAAAGGTGAGATTCTAGGCAGGGAATATTAGCTAGGACCATCAGGCTGTCACCCTGGATTTGAAACCCTGATCATAAGACCAGTGTCCTAACCAGACACTACAGTCCATTCATCACTAGTAGCAAGGTACTGGACTCTGGGCTTCAGAATGAAAGTTCTGTAGCTGCCCTGTTGAAACTTAAGAATAACATTGGATGCAGGTGCTTCTAAATGTTCATGAGCAGTGAGACATTTATGTGTTAGATCATTACTCCCTTTGCTATGGACTATACATTGAAGTATTGTAACAGACACGCTTTCAAAGCTGAAAAACTTTATAGACCAGCCGTCCCATGAATGTTTACACAGGGAGGCCATCGAAGGAACTTTTAAGCAGCGTTACCGGAACTATTTAGCAGAAACAGGAAAGAACACTTGAGTGCGGGATCTCGCCACTGATTAATAAATCTCGGCTACTGCTGTTGAGCTGACATTCATGGGAACTTCACAGCAATACTCTCACTCTTTGTGCGCGTGCCACGACACGCCTGAAAACAAGAGCTGCCACGAGGGCTCTGCTCTCTCTGAGCTGCGCAGGGCCGCAGATGGTGCAGCGTGTGTCTGCGCAGGGACAGCAGCCAATCCTGCGGGAGTAATCAGTGACAGATTAATGTGGCTGAGTAAAGCGGAGCACGAACGGCAACGTGCGGCTCCTCGGATCCGCTGCGGCGGAATTCCTCCTTCCCCCTCTGTCGTGTAAGCAAACAGCAGAGAGAGAGCCAAGGCTACCTGTGGAACACAGGCAGGTTAGAGCAATGCTAAGCTAACATTCAGGGGACTTCCGTGCAGAGGGATTCTGCACCAAAGCACTGACGCTGCATCAGATTGAGATTTTTTTTTTTTTTTTCAAATCTGAGTCAGTTAGAGCCAAGATCTGGATTAGGTGGTATGCACATCCTTGATCATTTATCAGGAACACATAGTCCCCAAAGCAGAGGACGTAATGGGGGGAGGGGGGGCATGCCTAAACATGCCTCAATATGGAATCAACCCCACAACCAAGGCTTCTAAACACGATGTGTAACGGACAACAAGTAACAGTATTACGGGGAATAATATTTGTGGTCCTCTCTTGGTAAGACCGCACCCTGTCACCCTGGGGTCCCTCTGATTTGGACGCATGGGACAGACCCCCAGCTAGCTGTGGGGCCAGTCACCGCCATCCAAACGGCAGAGGGACAGAGCCTTCAGGGTCCCAGCCCAGTCAGCTCTCCCGGGACTCCCGCCAAGCCGAGACTCTCCCTCCCTTCCCTTCGTTTTTTTTTTTTTTTTGTGTTTTAATAAATAAGCATCTTAGGAAGGAAGCTGTGGTCGCACCATTAACACATTCCTCTGTTCCTCTGACACAAAGCCGAGCGGAGAGAGGCTGCAGAGGACATAAAGCAGCTAAAAATAACGTCCCGCCGACCGAGGCACCCAGCGCGGCTCAGCCCAGGACGTGCAGCGGGGAGGGAAGGACTGACCCGGAGGGAGGGAGAGGGAGAAAGGGATCGCTACAGGGCAGGGAGAACGGGATGGGGAGCCCCGGAGAAGCTTTGAGGATGGAATTTTTGGGTGGTGGTGGTGGTGGTGGGGTACATGTTGCGTGTCATCGCCCCCACCCCCACCCCCCCCCCCCCACGTTTGGCCTTGTGGGAGGGCCCTCGGAGTGTGGATGGCTTGCCGTTGTCTTTTTTTTTTTAGCTCCAGTACGGAAGGGCCCCTCCCCAGATCAACCCCCAACGATCCCCCACCCACATCCCACACCCCCTCGGCTCCAGCCAGCCTGCCACCACAGACCACACATGTCTCCCAGCTGTAGCTTTAGAGCTCAGTCCCTCACACACACACACACACACACACACACACACACACACACACAGCTACACTGTCATGCAGTTCTACGCACTGACAAAATTCCTATTAATACAGCAGCGAGTCCCACACACTTGACCTCACAGCGCACAGCGGCACTTCCCCACTGCAGACATGCAGTCTGCCTCAGTCTCTCCCCGGTCCTAGTACTTAGGCCTAGATGCCACATCCAGGAACTGGCCTGCATAAAGACCATGTTTCAATACAGTACTTATTATAGAGCAGCGGTGTGGGGGGAGTGGTCATGCCTCTGGACTTCAGAGCGGAGTGCTGGATTCTGTATGCTGTGCCCAGGCACTGGACAGCACTGCTGTTATGATACCCTGTCTCAGCCTGAACCCGGGACCCACGCTTACTGTACCCAAAGCCCAGCGGTCGGCGCAGAGCGTACGCGCGTGCGTGCCATTAGTTCTTCGGGTCAGCGCCTCTTCTCCTCCTCTGTGTGCCAGGGACCCTCTTAATTAGCCCTGGGCCTGAAGGAAGCGTGGGGCAGGGACGGCGTCGCGTTTCTTCATGAGTGACCTAGCACAAGTTTTACTTATTCATCATTATTTCCTCCTCATATTTATATGTATTTAGCAGTAAGTGCGGGCCCTCTGCTCATTTGTCAGGCCCAGCCCTGATGAATAATTTCTGCATTGTTTTTGCTAAATTGGATGCCGCGCGGTGCGGATGTGCGCGCCGGACCCTGCCCTGTGCATTGAGACCCTCCGAGCACTGGGGTAGAAGGGGAGTTGAGGCGCTGCTCCCTCTCTCCCTCGCTCTCTTTCTCTCTGTCTCTGTCTTTCTCTCTCTCTCTCTCTCTCTCTCTCTCTCTCTCTCCCTGTCTCTCACTCTCTTCAATTTTCTCTTTCTTTCTCTCCACTCTCTACCCAGTTCCAGTTCTCTCTTTCCTTCAATCT